CCAGGGGGCAGGGCTGGCTGGCATGTGGTGCTGGGGGATTGAACTGTGGTCCCTGTGCTTTGCTAAGTTTGTTCTAAGTAGGTGCTTTAGACCACTGAGCCATCTCACCAGCCCCTCTTCCTTTCTTTTTAAGAAAGGGTTTTGCTATGCAGTTCAGGCTGGCCCTATGCTCATTTTGTAGCCCAGTGGATCTTAACTCGCAATGATCTTCCTGCCTCTGCCTCCCAAGTGCTGGGATTGCAGGCGTGCCCTACCACGCCCAGCAAGCATGGACTTTTAGAGGATACTTAAAATCCCAACTCCAGGAGTTGGGCATGGCCTGTAATACTAGTAGCACCCAGGAGGCTAAGGCAGGAGGATAGCCATAAGTTTAGGGGCAGCCTCAGCTACAGAATGAGTTCAAGGTCAGCCTGAACTATGTATCAAGAGACCCTGCCTCAAAAAGTAAAACAAGCAAGAAAATCCAAACTATACCATATGCTCCAGACTAGGAATTAGTGAAAGCATTATATAGGATAACATATGGACAGATAAAAAAAAATAATTTGCAACTTTAGAAAATAATTCCTTGTAAGTATCATTTAAGACTTTCAAGTACATATAAAGTGAAACCTGGTATATAACATTCTAACAAGATTCTTTGCAGAAACCATACCTACTTTACAAAGGACAAAAGAGTCTTTGTTTAGGAACATGAAACACACCAAGTGCTTGGAGTGGAAAAACTCTAGAACTGTCTGCAGGACTATTTTTTCTTTCTGCAAAAGTTCTGCCAAGAAATCTCACTGGCCATTCCCTTGCTGATGAGTTGTTAAAGAACAGGAAAAATAAAATTCTATCTGCTTTCTATTCAACAAATGTGTGAATGCTAACTGTATTCCAAACACTCACTTCCTGAAAAACTGCTGTCTGGCCTCTTGGAGACTACTCATTTCCTGATTATGTTGTCATGGCAACCAAGGGCTACTTCTTGGGCATGGGTGGGTGGGGAATGCTCAAAAGCGGCATGGATCTGGCATTCTTTTCCACTAACTCATCTGAACCAGTTGGTCACCAGTGGTGACAAAGCAACACGGTTCAGAAGCAGAGAACAGAAGCCACAGCACTGTGCCCTACGTGACATCCACACTACTGCTACTCATCCTTGTGGAAGGAGACAATCATCTCCACGTTCTGTCTCTTCAGTTTGGAAACACAAGCAGAAACCCTATGCATTCATGTTGTTTGTGCAGTGCTGCTGGCTATACCGCCCTAGGCCTGATGCACTGCCCCACTGAGCTACACCACGAGATAGCCCTTTCTCAGCAGGTTCTGAAGTTCTCTAACCATCCCTGCAGTCTACACATCATTTGCCGGATTGGGGAGGTCAGTTAGTAGCAAATCATCTGTTTTGGTCTGCTAACAAATAGGACTGAAAAAAGGAAGCACACGTGTTGTAGTCATTCGTACAAGTTTTGTTACTGTTTGGTCAGTGAGTCTACCAAGAACACTCAATGAAAGCCAGAGAACAAGGATAAAATACAGAGTTGTCAGCCCAGGAAGGAAACTGTCCAACAATAAAACGGGCCTACATTTATTTCTCTATTCACAATTTATATTCCACCAATTTTTTCTTTTTTGTGGGGGGTGGGGTATATATACTAGAAATTGAACTCAGGACCTCATGCTTGCCAGGCAGGTGCTGTGCCACTGAGCCAAACCCCTGGCCCCTCACCAGTTTTTGTTGTTGTAGTATGGACTGAATTCACAGCCTTTGCACTAAGGCACATTCCTAGCCCTTTTTATTTTATTTTGAGACAGGGTCTCAAAAGTTGCCAAATTGCCCAGATTGGACTGGAATTTTTTTGCGGTACTGGGGATTGAATTTAGGACCTTGTGCTTGCCAGGCAAGCGCTTATTCTACTGAGCTATCTGCCCAGCCTCTGGACTGGAATTTGTGATCTTTCTGCTTCAGCCTCCAAGAGTGCTGAGATCACAATAATGTGCCATTATACCTGGCTACTCTACCAACTTTAACACAGGATCTGAAAAAGCTAGACGCTCTAAATAGAACCGTTTCTCTAGAGTAAGAAGCTGCACTGATTTCTTGCTTTATAATTATTTTTCAATTACAATACAACTACTAAGTTCCCGCTGGAGTGGTATGAAACATTTCATTACTACTTGAAACCATAGGAATGTTCCAGGGAGACAAACTCACATTGCTTAGTGAGATGGAATCCAGCCAAAACCCTGCTAACATACAGATACCTACAGATCTGCTAAATCCCTTTAAAAGACCTAAACTCTCCAGATACTAGTTGTCAGTCTTTTCTGGGAACTGGGAGGTTTTTGTTTTTTTTATTTTAGAGGAAAATGAGCTATTTTTGAAATATCCATCAAAGTATGTGTGTCTCTTTCTGCCTATACGTTAGGGCCAAGTCCTTCAGATGAGTCCTGTCTTTTCTAATGACAGCTCAGTGGCATCAGGTCCTTTTTGACCCATCTGTCATGGCTCCTTTCCTATGGGGCAAAATCCCTTGGGGACACCCCGGTGATGGGTGGCAAGCCCAGTAAACAGGACCTCATCTTCTGAAGCTCCTGGATCTCACCACTCTCAGGGCCACTGTGCACCAACAGGACCTCTTCTGCTTTCTGTATGGCATTCAGAGCTTCGGGCACTGCAAATCTGAATCAAAAGAGGGAAGAGGGGTCAGTTGTTTATTATTATTATTTTAAAAGAAACAGATGTTTCCCCTATGAGAAAACAGATGCTCACAAGCAGCAGTAAGAGGTAGTGTCTGGTAACAAGAGTCACCAGAGGCAAGCACAGCAAGCCACATGATGAGGGAACCACACAGAAAGTGTTTCAAACTCCCTAGCCCCCAATTAAGAAAACAAATGCTAAGTTTGTCTGGGTGCTGATGTGACCAAGGACTAATAATATTATATGAAAAGAAAAATTTAACAACTTTGGCTAATTGGAAAATTAAGTTTCTGGACAATACAACCTGTGGGAAACTCCAGACTAGGATGTACTCTGCACACAAGAGTCTACAACCATGGTTACCAAAGGTCATTTATGATGTAAGTGTCACTGAAGTTCATATACAAGGGCAGGATACATGTCCTGGGAGTGGTTCAGTTGTACCAGAAGCCAGACCCATAGGAAACAGAGGTGCAAATACTAAGAGCTCCTTTGAGAAGGCTGAGGTGAGGCCTGGGCAGGTGGCCAGGCCTAGTGACACCAGGAACTCTGTAGGCCCTGGAGGCCCTAAGCTCCCAAGACAGCAGGTTCTGCAAGTGCACACTGAAGCCCCTCAGTATGGGACTGAGCTCCTTACCCAGACCAGCTCTGGGCCCACACCATCTTCTTCTGAGTCTCCTCAGAAGAAGCATGAGCACCTCGGGCCAGGACCCTGCCCCAGGGCTGCCTTCCTCTGCAGCATGCCTTGGTGTCTCAGCTCACTCTCACAGAAGAGGAACAATCACATCTTGGTGCCCAAATCAGGAAGGACCTACAGTCACTAGAAATGAAGCTTAGGTGCACCCTGGGGTTACAGCCTGCCAGGAAACTTGAGTGGACGCAGCCTGAGTCAAGTCTAAGCCACTGGTGAGCCCTGCCCCTCCCAGTGCAGAAGAGCACACTGAGGCCAGAAAAGGGCCCTGCCACCTTGGAACTGGGTTTGTGTCCTTCAGAAGTCTGCTCACATGGAGTAGAGTGCTCCCCCCGCTTCCTGCTTCTTCCCAGAAACAGTCTCTGCCTTCCTGCTTGAATGGGATGAGGCTTTAGGGACAGATGCCAGTGAGGGTCACAGAGTGCTCATTCAAGGGACACCCAATGTCGGGTCTGCGGCAGAGGCTCTCTGTAAGTAAGGCCCAGCCACAGTCTGCTGGTCAGTGCTCTTGTGCAGGACAAAGCCCCAGGGACAGGACATGCTGGACAGTGACTGGGGAAGTGCTGCCCAGGCTGTTGTGGACACCACATACTCCCACAAATTTTCTGGCTTTGATTAAACATTTTCCTGCAAGGAGAACCCAGCTGCTTAGCTGGAGGGTTCTCAGGTTTCCCCCAGGACACATCTCAGATGTGTAGAAGGTTGTGAACATTGAGTGTTTTTCTTAGCTGCCTTTCCAGGCTGTTCTCACTGAAGTCAGGAGCTAGTGTTGGGGTACTGGGGGCTCTCCAGTAGCACCAACTGACAGCGAGCGAGGACGGCCACTCACATGGGAAAAGCTGGCCTGGGAAGCAGAGGAAGGGGCTTGTGGTTGTTCTGCTGTCTGAAGGTTCTCTCTGCACTTTTCCCTGCTGCCAAGACAACCCCAGGGTACAGCCCTTTGGGGTGCAGGTTCCCAGCAGCTTCTCTGTTGCATCCGCTGCCCAAGAAGCTGCATGTGGAGGGATCCTCTGCTCCTCTTGAATGCAGAAATGTGGTGGGGTGGGGTCTTTCCTGTTACTTTGAAGTTCCTTTGAATGTGTGTTTCACCAGAAGCTCCTCACTGGGGTGATATGCTGTAAGCAGTTGGAGTACAGGGCCACAGTGTGTCACAGGGTCACTGCTGTGTCAGAGATCAAGGGAATAGAGGCTGCCAATTAGGCTGCTGAAAATACCCTGGGAGCAGGCTGTCCCCGACAGCCGCAGTGCGCAAGGGCCTAGGGAGCTGTGTCCGAGGGGACCACCCAGGTGAGTCAGGCTGTCCATCTGAGAAGACAGCTGGGGCAGGAGGGCACACGATGTGGGTGACATCTGGGGCAAGGCCTCAGCTAAGAACAGAAGCTTGAGAACAAACCACAGGACAATCACTGACGCCAGCTGTCAAGTGATGAGTGGGAACTGGCATCACCCACTGGACTTAGGTCCTCTGAACTGGCACTGCTACTCAGCTTCATAGGGCTGGGCTTGGGGTCTGGGGTGGGGGCAAGTGTCCACAGACTGAAACCTTGAGAAGTGCTGGTGGAAGGGCCAAGGCAAAGCAGTAGGCATGGGCCCTCCCCAGCAGCAGGCGCTATTTTTCCTGTGTCCTAGGGCTTGTATCCGTGTGTCTCAGGTCCTGAGCCCCAAGCAGCATGGAGTATCTCAGAAAACGGCTGTAGCTGTGAGGAGCCAGGAAGCTTCTGTGTTTTTACTATGTTCTTTGTGCAGACTCCTGAGCTGGCTCAGGTGCTCATGTGCCAGACAGGTAGATTTTCCTGGTGATGACAGGTCTGGGCAGTCGGGCACACCTGGCACACTGCACATGACCCTCAGGGCTCCATGAATGATGGAAGCTACGGCGCATCAGAGCACTGCAAGTCACTGCCCGTGCAGCGCCTCTTCCATAGGTGGAGCTTTGGTTGGCTGATGAGGCGGGAGCTGAGGTGAAGGCTTTCTGCACTTTTTGCACTCATAAGGGCCCTCGCCTTATGTGTTTCCTGGTATTTCATGAGGTTAGAGTTGTAGTTAAAAGCCTTTCCGCTTGCCTCCCATTTAAAGAGCTTCTGGCCAGTGTGAATTCTCTGGTGTGCAGCTACACATCAGAGCTGTGCCAAAAGGTCTTACCCTCGTCACACTGAAAGAGCTTCTCTGCTGTGTGAACCCTGATGGCGAATGTGATCTGTCTTGGGCTTAAAGATTCATCTGCATTCACTGTACTCACAGGGTTTCTTCCTCTGAAAAGGAACACATACAGGGACCCCTTTAAGGTCACTTTTAAATGAGGCATCAAAGGCCTGGAAGAGATGTGCCCCATCCTCAGGGCTCAGCAGGGTCAGCACTCTGCCATATACCTCTCATTTCGCTTTTTTCTCTCCAACACTTTCTCGTCTTTGAGAGTGGCCTTTTGCATACCTGCTTCCTCCTTTGGGGCCTGGGTCATCTTTTTGCTGCCTGCAGGCTTTTCCATCACTGATCCTGGGAGGCAGGAAGCACCCTGGAAGCCAGGGAGGGCTGAGGGCTAGAGGTCAGAGGCTTTTTTTCTGACTCTGCTCCTTCAGGGGTGGCTTGCCATGTCCTGCACGGGGAGGTGAAGCTCTACTCCATTAGATGGCACCTGTTCTCTTGCTGGAGGAGATCGGGGTCATGATAGCTTTGGAGCCTAGGCGCAGACAACTGGCCGAGCACACCCAGTACCAAGTATCATCGGAGACAGGCAGGAGGTGAGGAGGCAGTTGGTCCCACAGATGTTAACTAAAAGCTTACTCAGACACTGTGAAGGACACAAAGGTATCTGAGTTTATGTCCTCCACAAGCTCACACTTTCCCTAACACTCAACTTGGGAACAAAATAATGAAAATAAAAAGTAAAATAGACTCCAGGATCTTGAGAAAAATAGGCAAACCTTAAAGCTCCAATCCGACATTTATGCAGGAATGTTCATCCTAGGGTAACCATGTCTACCACTGACCAAACTTTCACTCTTTCTTCTTTCTCTGACCAAATGGTCTACTCATTACTCATAATCTTAGGTTTAAGCTTCAAATACTTTTCATATCAATGTACACCAATGACAATTTTATCAAAGCTGAGCTATTACATTCAGAAACACTTCAGAAATAATCAGAGCCCTCAAATGATCAAATGACAGGTCAGCAATAAGCTCATCAGCCTACTATTCTTTCCTTTTTTAATTTTTTTTTCTAAGTTTTCTGAGTGGTGCTAGAGATTGAACCCAAGAAAACCCCACATTCGTGTGTGTGTGTGTGTGTGTGTGTGTGTGTGTGTGTGTGTTTTGAGTCACGGTCTTACTATGTAGATTAGGCTGGCCTCAAACTCAATCCTCCTGTCAGCTGGGATTATAGGCAAATGCTGGGATCACAGGTGTGTACCACCATGCCTGGCAAGCTTCTGACCTTTAAAGCAGAGGTTTTCAACTTTATTTATTTTTTTGGGGGTGGGGGGAGACTGGGAATTGAACTCAGGCCCTTGTGCTTGCCAGGGAAGCACTTATTCCACTGAGCCGTCTCCCCTGCCCCGGTTTTCAACTTTAACACAACTGATATCTCGGGTCAGATACTATACTGTACACTTTAGGAGGTTTAGCAGCACCTCTGGATGCTAGTAGAGCCCCTTCTCTAAGCTGTGGCAATTGTGTTTCTGTTCAGACAGTACCAAATGTCATCTGGGGCAAACATCATTCCCGGCTGAAAACAACTGCTTTAAAAGGAATAGGGAAAAGGCAGAGACCCTGGAGGAGTTGAGTGAGCCATGGGAGTGTGATTAACCAGAGAAGAATGAGAAAGAAGGCTGTGCTGTGTGGTGGGTGGGGCTGCTTGGCAAGGCTACCCTGGGAAACTCACTTCAGATCTAAGAGCTTTCCCCACATCTCTCAGAAGAAAACTCTAAAGTTTTAAGTCTGTCAGCAAAAACAAAAGGCAGGCACCTCTCCTAAAGAGGAAATAAAAAAGGTTTCAATGCACTTAAAAACCACCACAGGAGAAAAGTCACACACCGAAATGCCTAGTAAAAAAAACAGAACAGTATGTGTGCTAGCAAAGCATTAGGATAAAACAAGGACTCACCCGTTGAACAACACTTGGGCTAGTTTGAAGAGCTCATGGCCCATTTCAACACTGGATGACCCGTGGTGCACCTCAACCACTTGGAGACTCTTCTGTAGATGGGTAGCTGACTTTTTCCAATCCCCTGTGATGAAACGAAAACTTTATTTCAGAAAAGAACCTTAGTCAATTTTGGATGAACTGTCAAGTGACAAAAGGTGATGGGAAGGAACAGTAACCTCATTTGAAGAGAGAACGAGAATAAGCAAAGATGGCAACAAAACACACAAGGCAGGAAATGAAGCATGTGCCATACCTAGGGCAGCGTAGGCCCGGGCCAGGTGATCCTCAATTTCCCCTACCACAGCATGCTCTGCCGACAGGAAGCTCTCAGCATCTTCCCGGCACCTCAACAACCACATAATGGCTTGCTCTACACATTGCAAGAGAAAATGCCTCAGTATAGACACAAATCCAGTCCTGGACATGAGAACCCAGGTCCCACATTTTGGGCTGACGCACAAATTCCCCTTCATGTCCCTGGTTGTCACAAACCTATTCTGCTCCAGTAAAGTTGTTCTCTTGTATTTTTTTTTCTTTCAGTAGGAACAGGTGCTAGGTGAGGAATCCCCACATTTACCCTGTGTTGCCTATATCCACTTTCTAATACAACCAATTCTACAGTTCACTTACAGTCATTATTTCTCTTGACTTTCAAGTTTGAGCTAAAGTTTAACTTTCATAAGGTACAGCAATTGTCAAACAATTTCATTTTCTTTTTGAGATAGGGTTTCACTATGGAGTTTTTTTTTTTTTGCGGAACCAGGGATTGAACTCAGGCCCTTGTGCTTGCCAGGCAAGCACTTATTCTACTGAGCTGTCTCTCTGCTCCCCCCGCCCCTTATTAACACACTTTGTAGTTCAGGCTGGCTTTGTGCTCATTATGGAGCCCAGGCTGGCCTCAAACTCACAGTGATCCTCCTGCTTCAGCTTCCTGAGTGCTGGGATTACAGACATATGCCATATTTGGCCAAAAATTTCTTTTCTTTTCTTTTTTTTTTTTTCAGAATCGGGGATTGAACTCAGACCCTTGTGCTTGCCAGGAAAGCGCTTATTCTACTGAGCCATGTCCCTAGTCCCTAAAAATTTATTTTCTGAAAAGACACTGTGGTGTGTGTGTGATGCTGGGGATCAAAACCAGGGCTTAGGGGCCGGGGAGATGGCTCAGTAGAATAAGTGCTTGCCTGGCAAGCGCAAGGGTCTGAGTTCAATCCCTGGTTCTGAAAAAAAAAAAAAAAAAGAACAACCACGGCTTCATGCTAGCCAAAAATACCACTAAACTATCTACCCATCTCAAGGGTAGAATTAAAAACAAACAAACAAAAAACACAAACAAAACAAAACAGGCAAGCACAAGGTCCTGAGTTTGATTCCCTGTACAAAACCAAAAAATAAACAAAAACCCAGCAGAATTCTTAATTCCACTGTTCTACAGAAAAAACTGGTTTTGATTAGAGGAGAACAACCTTCCTAGGAAGTTAGGTCATTAGGCTCTAGAGTTAAAATAATTGATACAGAACTTCTGGAGTTGTACAGAGCTCATAGAAGTCAGAGATGACCTTTCAGCCATCAGGAATACTGTAACTCAGCTATCTGAGGCACAAGACAACAGCTTAACTCATCTGGCATTTATCTCAAGGATGGTAAGGCTTACTCTTAACTGGCCTATGTAGCCATCTTGTGGCTGGTATGGGGATAATTAAATCCAATGCTTCAGTCACTGAGTAGCCTTTTTCCCTCCCAGTGCTGATAGTCAAATCCAAGGCCTCACACAAACTAGGCAAGTGCTGTACCACTGAACTACATCCTGAACCTCTAATTGCTCTTGAGTGCAAATAGACACCAGAATATTAAAAAGGGGAGGGGTTAGTAGACCCAAGTAGGGAGCCAGTCTCACCAAGTTTGCCATTTCTGAGAAGCTTCCAACCCATCTCAACCTGCTGCTGAAGGTCCTGTACCTGAGAGGCCAGATGATTCCTGCTGATGGATTCTGGGCAAGCTCTGTTCCCACAGCTCAGGACATCATCTCCCTGTGGAAGTCAGTTCTATCTTTATTTCTGTACCAGAATTGGTTATTAACATTGGCTATGCTTATGTTATAGGATACCTTGCAATAAATGAAGGAAAGAGACTTTTGCAAGTCTATTTGGTTAAATATCATAACCAAAGCCTGGCTAAATTTGGTCTGATAGCAGCAGTTCTAATGAAATAGCAGACTCCACCCCAACATTTACTCTTCAGAATAGAACTGCTAGAGTTCACAGTTCCTCATCTCAACAGCTCCTCTCTTATCTTTCTTTGGAGCCAGGCCTTGGATGACAGAAATACACATTTCTAGTGGTTATAAAAAAGCTGTAAGAAAATGAATACAAAAAAGTGCTAAGTGGGGCCAGGGAGATAGCTCAGTAAAATAAGCGCTTGCATGGCAAGCGCAAGAGCCTGAGTTCAATCCCTGGCTCCACAAAAAAAAAAAAGTGCCAAGTGAGGCCTCTTCACTTTGACCTTGGGCCTGCAACTTTAGCTTTCCAACACAGCCAACTCCTTGATCTTCTAATGATTACCCTAAAACAAAACAACAACAACAACAAAAATACTGTATGTCCTTGTAGGGGAGAAAACTTCTGAGGTGGCCATTTGCCTTGTTGTTGAAGGATCTAAGTCATCACCTGGCCAAGGCAATCCAATTTCTTTAGGTCTCTCACCGTCTACTGCCAGCGCTCTGTAGCTGAGAGTGTGGACATGTGGTTCAAATGTGGTCTATGCCTCTGGTCCAAATGGCTGGAGTGCTGTGGCTCCAATTTTCTTGCAGCCATAGTCACTGGGTCAGTGTCACACACTAAGACTTCCACCCAGACTGTTGTTAGAGCGGCACATTTTCAATCTTTTGAGTAGGGAAGACAAGTTGAGCTGCTGGCAGCCATCTTGTCATCATGAGAGGGATGTCTCCTTGGAGATGTGCTAGCACAGAAGAAATGGAGCTGGGAGGTGACTGAAAAGTGGGGTCCTGGTGATATTATCTGAGCCCTCAGATTGTGTCAGAAATAGCCCTAATTTGGGACTTTTCAATTACTTAATAAAAAACAAACAAACAAAAAACCTCCCAGTCTTTTTCCTCCTCTAAGTCTATTTAGGTGGGTTTTTCCATCATTTGAGAGAGAAACATCACTAAATCCAGTCCTTTCCCATGAGTTCTTTGCAGGGATGGCCCAAGTGTGGGGAAGATTTAATCAAACGGGAGTGACATTACTACTCTTACTACTCTGTATCTGTAAGCCCCTGATGGCTGCTCCTCTTAAAAACGGATGACTTTGGGGGCCAGGGAGATGACTCAGTAGAATAAGCGCTTGCCTGGCAAGCTCAAGGGCCTGAGTTTAATCCCTGGTTCTGCAAACAAACAAACAAACAAACAAACCACGGATGACTTTTGGGTTGGATAACTGACCTCCGGAAACAGGAGAGCAGAGAAGGGAGAGATTTACCTGCAGGAGTGCTCTGCAACTGTTACAACGGAATGCTTCCCACCTGGGCCCTGCAGCTGCTCTGGGCTCCTCACAATGACAAGCTGGACAGCTGCAGTCAAAGAAGTACTGAGATCTCAGCTTCTGTTGCCTTTCAGCACCACTCATCCGGCTCTCGTGAGGCCCTGGAGAGAGATCACCCTCAGCTAGTACTGAAAGCAACAGAGTCAAACAGTACTTAAGAGCCCTCAGCTCAGCAGAGGGTCTGGATGATTATTCATCGTGACAGATAACCTTTACTTAAGCCTTTGTGGAACTAGACACTGAAATAAGCTTTCGAGTTGCTGCAACAGCAAGATAAAGAAGCTGAGATGTTGCTTCTCGCCCATTTCAGAACAGGAAGTTTATAGGGAGCAAGCAAGGATGGACAGATAGCTTAACCACAACCGGACTTCTTACTATGGTAAGATATTTGGTCTAGTAATGCATTGTCGTTTTGCAGTAACCAACACCAGGCAGGTGAAGGCCCAGGGGCTTGCTCTTCCCAATCCATCCTGTCTTTTGGCTATAAGAAAGTGGGATGGGGACAGGAGAGCTGGCTCACCATAGCAGTGGAAAATTTCCTGTCCTTTTTTAATCTGCTGCGCTGCCCGAATGGTGGCGACAGTGCCAGTGAAGGACACGCTGGTATTGGGGCTGCAGGAGTGGTTGAGGAGGCTCACAACAGGGAAGATGCCTGTGGCAAGGCGTACCTGCCCGCTGTCAGCAATCATGCTCTCTTTAGATCCTGAAAGCACAACAGGCAAAAGGAAAAACATGTCAGGATGTCAGTCCTGGCTTCGTATCCATTTGTCAGAAGTTAAGCTGGGCAGCTGGGCCTCAAGCCCATCTGAGTCACGGCTCCACAGCCGGATCCAGTATAAATCAGAGGGAACATGACTCATAGCAAACGCTGGTCCCTAGGAAGCAAAGTGAATGAACACAAGGTAAGTCCACTGGAATCCTGGAACCTAGTCACTGTGTCTTGACACCACATACAAAACTCCCCAAGATTAGAATTTATAAAAAATAATAAAAAGAGGATTAGCAGTAGGGAGCTTTCCTGAGTTTCACAATGTTCATGAGGACACAGAAATCAGAGTACCTGTTGAGATTATTTCCCGAAGACTTTTATATTCCATGTGCTTTTATTTAACTGGTCTCTGGTTGGTTAATAGTACAAGCGACCTAGTTATTATACTAAACTTTATATATTTAAGCTGGCTTAAGTGTACATAAAGATCAATATTCTTTATGCTTACTTTTTCATTATGTCCTTTATGGAAAAGTAGTAAATAGTTCTCATGGAAGTAAACGTTCCATATTATTATTCAAGATGATCTTCTAACCCTGAAAGTCTCTTTGTAGTACAATTGACCAGTAACTTCACATGACTGAACCTCAGAAAGGAAGAAAAAGGCTTCCAGGCAGCGAGGTGGGCCTGCAGCACAGCTCTGATACCTCTACTCATATGCTGAATTCTTTTTTTTTTTTTTTTAATTTTTTATTTTATTTATTTATTTTGTGTGTGTGTGTGTGTGTGTTGCCAGCTCAGCCCACCAGGGGGCAGGGTGGGCTGGCATGTGGTGCTGGGGGATTGAACCAGGGTCCCGATGCTTTGCTGAGCTTGTATTTATTTATTTTTTATTTTTATTTTTTTATTTATTTGAGAGAGAGAGAGAGAGAGAGAGAGAGAGAGAGAGAGAGAGAGAGTGTGGTGTGTGTGCTGCCAGCTCAGCCCACCAGGGGGCGGGGCTGGCTGGCATGTGGTGCTGGGGGATCGAACCTCAGTCCCTGATGCTTTGCCAAGCTAGTTCCAAGTAGGTGCTTTAGACCACTGAGCCATCTCTCCAGCCCTGAGCTTGTATTTAGTAGGTGCTTTAGACCACTAAGCCATCTCACCAGCCCTGAATTCTTTTTACTCATGTGTAGGTATGCATGGTAGACTTCCCTTGCTTTGACAAAATACTTGAGAAAATCAACTTAAAAAAAGAGAAAAGTTTTGTTTTGGCTCCTGGCTCCAGAGCTATCTGTCCGTGGCTGCTTGGTTTTGTCACTATAGGCCTGTGATGGTGCAGCACACCATGGCAGGAGTGTAACAAGGGAGGCTACTCGCTTTATGGTTGGCTGGGGAGCAAAAAGAGAAAGAAGGGGCTGTGATTCCATCTCCTTCAAGGGTCCCTAACTTCCTTCCATGAGGCCCTACTTCCTACAGGTTCTACCATTTCCCAGTAATGCCACAGGCTGGTGACCAAGCCTTTAGCATATGGGCCTGTGCAAGATTTAAAATCTAACCATAACTTTTTTTTTTTTTTTTTGGTAGTATTTTAAGGAAGGGTCTACAGGGTGTTCAGGGTCTCACTCCTAGATCGACTCACAGTGATTCTCCTGTTTACAGCCTCTCAAGAGCTGGGATTACAGGTGCGTGCCACCACACTCAGTCTCAACCGCAGTCTCAGCAAGCCCCCGGGCGGGACCAGCACGGCAGGCCCAGGGATCGAACCCCTGGCCCATGCTCCTGCTTGCAGGTGCTTTAATCCACTGAGCTATTTGGCCGGCCCAACTACAACCTTTTGCTCTTATTTTAGACACAGTGCTAACTGATTTGGTCAAGCAGGTTCTCAGGTCACAAATGTCCAGAAGCAGAGAACTGACATGGGGAGAATCTAAGAAGCAGGTTTTTCTAACAATAGCAAAGGACAAATGACACACTGGCAGGCGAGATCATAAGTCTGACGAGTAACAGGCTTACTGCAAACAACACACTAGCACCACTCAGCGTTTTACCACCCTGGCAACATCTCACCTAACCAGAGCGTCCTAGACAGACAGCATTCCCACATGCGTTTTTGTAGCCAGATATCCCAGGAACACGAATGGTAGAGACAATCCCCAAGTCTTCAAAAATGTGCAGTAGCCTTGGTTCAAGCATGAGAAAAATCATGTTTCCAACAAACTCACTAAAATATGAAAGATATTAATACTTAGATAGAAACATTTAGTTTTCTAGAAAGCTGGAAACCATCAGATAATTATGGTATCACTGTACGTATGCCAGGAATCTCAACAGACCACTTACTAGAGAAATAAGTAGTCTAGATACAAATGTAATGCATAAAGAAAATACCATGAACTATCATGTGAAAATGCTCTATAAAGGAAAACATTAAATATAGAAATTATGTTGTCTCTCTGCAGACAATTCTATTATCTGTTGCTATGGGGGACAAGAATAGAACAAGTGAAAACAATTCATAAGGAATCCAAATGAATCAATTTTAGCCAATAATTCCATAAACTGTATTAAAGACTTTCATCAGAGCTTTTCCTAAGTGCTTAATTGATTTTAGTTTCCTGCCCTCCCCCACCCCCTTGCCCAATATCTACCTTCTGGAATATGTGCTAATGAGCAAAGAAAATGCTAAAAGGTAGGCAGGCGGAAGGAGCTGTACAAGGCACGAACAATTTGTAGTCTGAATAATCAGTCTCTGCATAATTAAAAGTTGACTTGCATTCCCAACTACTGATAACTGGCAATCTATATTAGAACAGTTGCTAAAATTTCTCAGAAAAAATGATTGCAATACAGTGAGTAATGTCAACTTTGTGAATTATTTATAGATTATCCTCTAAGAGAAGCAGGGCCAGGAACTGAGTGGGGTATTTGTGTCAGAGCTGAATGTCTAATTACTTCTAAAAAATTAAGTATTGATTTAAAAAAATTATTCAATATTTTGCATTAGTCATATATTAGTAGAGACAGTAGAAAGCAAGAATATATGTATCTTATCAACCAAATTTAATATATGATATATGATATTTTATATTTTTATTTATTTATTTAGAAACTTTTCAATTTATTTTGTTTTTTAAATACTTTAGTTCGGGGAAAGCAAGGTTAGATTCACAGCAAACGTTTACAGGAAGGCACAAAAAGTTCCCATGTTTTAGAGTGAAATAAATCAGACATAAATGTGTAAATACTGCATTGCTTTTCTGGTGTGAGAAAGCAAAAGAGTAAATAAAGACCGTGAAGTACAATAGGTCTGGTGAATTGGGAAGAAAATACTTAAATGGTGAAGGGAGCCACAGAGGGGGGAAGGGAAAGGAAAGAAGGGAAAAGTAAAAATAAATGAGGAAAGGAAGAAAGAATGGGATCAAAGCTTATTGTAGATGGGGAGTGGTGAAGGAGTTGGAGGGAAAGAAAGGGAATGGGGGAAGGGAAGAAGTTCTGTCGTGTAGAGGTACACAGTCTCAGTGATGAATGTGATCATTCTATGTACTAAAAATGCACCAATAAAATCCTATTTGAAAAAACAAACCAAAACAAACAAAAAAACAACGTACTTCCTTCCCCAAACGTACATAGTGTTATCGACACTCCTGCTCAACACCGATACTTTCCCTACTACCGGTGAATCTAGACTGCGTTACTGATATCTTCTAGAATCAGTACATTAAAGAAGTATTAATTGATGTATATAGTATGGCTTTACAAAACTGATAAATGGCCTGTACTCCCAACTGTATCATTTTTTCCCCCATAATTTTATTGAGAAACAAATAGCAATGAGACTGTTTCAAATCAAATTGGTAGGACAGTTCCAATAATTAACACATTGCATACTCTCTTCCTAGTGGTTATTTGCTGTACAAGATACAGACATGATATCTTATTTATAAACACCATTAGAACAAATCCCTCTATTCATTAAGAGAAT